CAGACACACTCACTCACTCACACACACACACACACACACACACACACACACACACACAGTCAGTCAGTCAGAGGGTGTTTAAAGGGCTGAGAGGAATGTCATGTGTGTTTGCTGTTTAGTTGCTCCAGCTGTCACAATGAACACACACACACACACACAGCTCTAATCTGTCCAGACATGTTGTGTCTGTTACTCAGAATTAAACTGTCATTACAGGACGACTTAATAAGGCACATGCAGAAGAGACTTTATTAGCAGATACTTTAATCATTAAAACTCATTAACTATATAAAGATTCATGAATTTCTAAGGCACTATTTTTGCTGTTAAACAATCTCTGCTGTTTCAATCTCGATCTTCTCATGTCTTCTGTCTCTGGTTGATAGTTTAGTGTTTTCTCCAGTCTAAGCTCTTTTAGTGTAATTGCTTCAGCTGGAGCTTCTCGTGTCAGATCTTGACTGATTTTGATCAAGTAAAGGTCAGAATAACTTTTATTAAGCATTTAATATCAGTATCTGCTGCACTGTTATAAACATCTCACTGATTTACATCACAAGCAGCTGAATCTCATCACAGAAATATCAGCATAATTGCACATCTGAATAAAACGGAGCTCTTTTTCCGCCACATTCCACTAAATCAGACTATATAAGCCATACAATCCCAATAGGACACAAAACATGCAACACATTTGCAAAGTTTTGCTTTAACGTTAGATTTTCTTTTATGTTTTGTCGAAACATCCAAAAAACGGTTCCATTTCAAATCATTAACGTTAGATTTTTTGATATAATAGTACATTATAATAATATTATTCTCAGAGATTTGAGGGGAATCTGAGGGAAACGCCTCACCTTCACCGAGTTCCGCTGATCGCCGGTGTGTCGCTGGAGAGGTTCCCGTGAGGTTACCGGCGGGGGCGCTGCGGCTCTCCGGCTCGGACTTTCACTCTATTTATATTTACACACAAACTTCGACAGTATTTGACGTTATTTCTCCGTTATCCGCGCCGAATCCCCGCCTCGTGAAATCCGCGCGAGATTCCCGCCGCTTTCACGAGCGCCTGTCAGA